CAAGTACGTTTTTAATTATAAATCGGCAAACGATTTGTAGGTGGAAATCTTTAGAATTTCAGGTGCCTGGCATGTTAGATGGTGCAATCTGATGACGTGTCCGTTTCACACCGCCTCTTTGTAGTTACAAATGACCATTGCATCCACTTTTTAAGTGTCCACGTCCGCTTAATTAATAGATGTGTCCTCTTAATAACGGTTTCATTTAGAATAAACAAGGGAAATAAATTTGGGGACTTTGGCTTCTGTCCGCTAAATAGAGGGTGGTCGCTTACTACAGTATCAGCTTTAATACAGGTTTCACTGTATTACAGCATATTTACTTACCGCCGGCCTCCTCGGTTCCAACTTCAGATGATGCACTGTTTGATCCCAGCAATCCACTGTCGCTTGTCTCCGTCATTACGCTGTGTGAATCGATATCTTTAGTTTGTTCTCTGGCTTGTTCTAAATAATTCTGAATGTAGTCATATTTATCCAGACCCATGTATTTAAGCCGTTTTTCTTCTTTGCCTAAAGGATCATCTGAAGTCAAAATGGTAGCAAAAATGAAACATAAATAATTAACAATTATTCTTTGAAATCGAGATAAATATTCCTTAAGCCACTATTCACCGAGATTGAAAAAAATAATCCTTTTAGTATATACACACGAAGTGATCTCAACAAAATCAGAGAGGAAACCATTAAAAAGTACGATTTATGGCATATACAAGTTTCTCACTTCGCAAACAACAGCGTAATGGCTTAAATGGAACCGTTCAAAGTTTGAATTGTTTCCTTACCTAAGAGGAAAAGTAGGGCTTTGTTGCATGTTTTCTGTTGACTCGCCAAGTTTAAGCCAAAAAGGTTTGTTGTGTCGTTCTTCGCATGAAGTGCTGACAAAAATGGCAGCTCGTTTTCTCGAGGCACACGACGTCGTCTTCCTGTAGCATTCTTTCATTCCTATATACTTGAAACGTAGAATTTCTGCCAACATTTGTTTTCAAATTTATTTGTCATAAATAAACTTCAACTTTTGGGCCAAATGTCTCTTGTTAGGAAACGGTGAGTTCACGAAACGGCCTCTTCTACACGAATAAACGGGAGTTGTAAACAATCCATCGAGCACAAAACTCAGCTACAGTAAATGGAAAAACGCCTTTTTCAATCCTTTGAAGTCTTTTCTTGTTTTAAAAAAAGTCAACCCTAGGATTTTGTCCACTTTTAAAAGATCATTCTCTAAAAAAATGGGAAAAGCACCGAGCTCACACATTATCCACTCGCTAGGAGGTGAANTATACAAGTTTCTCACTTCGCAAACAACAGCGTAATGGCTTAAATGGAACCGTTCAAAGTTTGAATTGTTTCCTTACCTAAGAGGAAAAGTAGGGCTTTGTTGCATGTTTTCTGTTGACTCGCCAAGTTTAACCCAAAAAGGTTTGTTGTGTCGTTCTTCGCATGAAGTGCTGACAAAAATGGCAGCTCGTTTTCTCGAGGCACACGACGTCGTCTTCCTGTAGCATTCTTTCATTCCTATATACTTGAAACGTAGAATTTCTGCCAACATTTGTTTTCAAATTTATTTGTCATAAATAAACTTCAACTTTTGGGCCAAATGTCTCTTGTTAGGAAACGGTGAGTTCACGAAACGGCCTCTTCTACACGAATAAACGGGAGTTGTAAACAATCCATCGAGCACAAAACTCAGCTACAGTAAATGGAAAAACGCCTTTTTCAATCCTTTGAAGTCTTTTCTTGTTTTAAAAAAAGTCAACCCTAGGATTTTGTCCACTTTTAAAAGATCATTCTCTAAAAAAATGGGAAAAGCACCGAGCTCACACATTATCCACTCGCTAGGAGGTGAATACTGTTGAATAGTCCGAAATAGCGAACCAATCAGATTGCTTAATCACCAGGATCACTGAGTGTGTATACACTAATAAGTAATAGTTTATTGATATCCCTATCGCAGGCTAAAGGCTGAATTACAAGGAAGGTCAGTGACAATAACAGAAGACAATACAATACAAAAACAATGAAATAGATAATTATGTAAAATAGTATGATTAATAGCACTACATAACGGAGAAAAAATAACAGAGCACAGGATTACAACTGGTCTTGAAACTTAATGGTGCTGAAATCTGCGAACCGCTTTGTCTTGGGGACAAGGCGCACCGGAACGCGTTCGCCTGAACGGAGGCAGTATGGCCTGTCAATTGACACACAAGGAATTAATGGCTTGAGTACCGGGGACGACAGGCAGTCACGCTTGATAAAATTTATGCAAGCTTCCTCCCTTCTCTGGGAAAGGGCAGTGATGCCAGATTGAATTAGGGCGTCGTCATAGTGACAATTGGGCAAAACGATGCGTAGGGCCCTTTTTTGTACAGATTCTATAGCGTCCTCTTAATACTTTGGCAGGGCAGGCATATTCAAGTACAGATCTTACAATGCTACAGTACACTTACACTAGCTGTGTGATAGTGAGGGCACTTTTTTTAAGCGCGCGCAATGCGTACAAACGCTTTTTGGCCTTTTTGACTATGTGTTCTATGTGGACATTCCATGAAAGATCGTCAGAGATATAGACACCCAAGAGCTTATAGGTCACAACCCTTTCAATAACAGAACCCCCAACGGTAAGGGGGGCAGGGGGGAATGGACTATACTGCATAGAGTTAATGATCATTTCTTTAGATTTCTTTGAATTAAGTTTCATGCCTCTTAAGGAAGCATAGGTATAGATATCGGATACTGTACTGTAGCATATTATAATTTAACAGTTCAGGTATACTGAAAAACTGGCAACTATATAACTTATTTCATAGTTTTGCAAACTCGTTTTATCAGTTACTTATATTTCATGTATCTTACCATAAACCTTAACTGGTTCGAAAAAAGAGACGGAAGCTTATTATAACAAAATTTCGACTTTCCAAAAAAGAGAGGCAGAGGGCTTAAAAAAAGAGTGTTTTCCTACGCATATCTTAGTATTTTCTTGGAACTCAACTGTTTTTGACCAGTCATATTACATGCACGATGTTGTATAGGGTCAGCAGTCCGGGCCACAACCAGATCTGGATATATGATGACGTCACCCACATTTGCAAAATGGCGCCCACGCCGAGAAACACGAGGGAAGGTCACTTCCAGGCTCTTTGCTGCACCTAGAAGTGTCTTTCCCCCATACTACTTTGAGAGCTGTGACTTTAGACAATGAGAAATCACGGGTGTGAAGAAAAATGCCGTCCGATGAAAGTTTGTGCGTTCTTGGGAGGTAAAACGACCAAACACGAGAGTTGTTTAGCTCAAAGAAATGCCAGACAAGGCGCAAAACATCTAAAAAAAGAAGGTGAGTTTCAATTTTCTGATCCTTGAAAACAATTTTTTCGAAATCTACATAAAAATTTGCTTGATGGTGGTCTTTTTGGTGTAGTGCGTAGCGGATTCAAATAGTGCGGTGCTTTGGAAGATGCAACAGTCAGTTGCGCCGTTCACGTGCTGGTTTTCATTGTAATACCATGTTTATTTTATGTTTTCTTGCAGTCTGATGGAAAAGCAAAAGCACCTTGTTTTTGTGGCAAAAAGATGCCGCCGGTTTGTTCGTGGAGAACCGTAACCATGGTCTTAGTCTGGACTTGCCTGATCACAAAGTGGCAATAACAATACAGTTCAAACACTGTTAAGCTTATTCAAAAGCTATTATCAAGGAAGCGAATACGCGCTCAAGTCAGAAGACTCGCATTTATAGAAAAACACCAAGCTGGAGTCTACTGAGTCACAAGCTTCAGTTGAAGCTGCACTTAATTCTTATAATTTTGTATCTGTAAATCACTATCCATGATAATTTAACATCCTGCAAAGAAAACTCATGAGCTGGGCTCAGCGTAGGTTTAGGAGCAAAGAACAAGGAACAAGAGTCAAAGACCTCGCGAAAAATGGCGCAAGTGAAAGAGAAGAGAGGGGGTGGGGAAGAAAGGAAGGAAACGCTTGCAGTGAAACGCCTCGATTTTGAAAACCACCCACTAGGCTTGTCATGCTTGAGTTCACGCACCGACATTTGATGCTGTCATGAGCTGTCATAATTGGCCAATAAAATGTTTGTCCTTCCGTGGAGCGGAAATGAACTTTGGAGGCGCGTGTGTGAAACCAAAATAATTTTTTTTTTGTATTTTGGAACGCGTGGACTGTGTTGATGGCGAAATCTCAATGAATTCGAACGATCAATGCAGGTCAAAGCTCAGCTAGACAGAACGGCTTACCCTTCTCGCTACGGCACAGACAACTAGAGTGCTCTTGTAAAAGCATCTACGAACGAAGCTGACCCGGCAACTGATGAAGTTAGCGTGGAGAACCAATCAGCAATTTTGACTGAGTCACAATGCAGTTGTCTATAGTTGATGTAGCTTCAGTTTTTTTTATCTGTAAATCACTATCCGAGAGAATTTAACATCCTTCCAAAAAAAAAAAACAGTAACGACCTGGGCCCAGCATGACAAAACATTGCAGGAGACCATCGCATTCCCTGACAAAAGAAAATCGCTTTCAGATCCAGGAGACAGGAGAATAAATTATACAGTCGCAAGAAGAGCTTTGCGTTTCAAAAGAAGTTAAAGAAAATGCTCTTGCCTTGTAGGGTAAATCTTGCCGACCTTGACATGACCTCTCAGTATGAAACAAACCTTTGATGGACACACGTCAATATTGTTCGACTAGCCGAGCCAATCAGGCGCTGCGTTCGCTGGCGAACGCAGGTTT